TTTTTTTTTTTTTTTATGACTTTACATCCCTTTTGGCCTCAGAGAAATGATTTCCCTCACAGGCTTTACACTGGGGTCTGGTTACCCAAGGCTGCCGCTCAGCTGAGACGGGAAGCAAGGGGCTTTGGCAGATCCAGGTTTAGTGGGGCTGAAAACAGATGAACAGATTTTGAGGAAAACAGCTAATTAAAATGTAATAGTAACGTCAAGGAAGAAGAGGTAGATAAAAAAGAATAAGGATAATTGTTGGTTTGTGATCTATGGCTCCATCAGGAATATCTTACTGTACAGAGTCACCTACATAAGGCGACTCTCTGCTGACACGGTTGTCTCTGCTCTGCAGGGAGCAAAAGGCGTCTCGTGGGTTGGCTGTTCCCAGCGCTTTCCTAGCCAGGACTGTCTCGCATCTATACCACTCTGGTGAGGTAGGTGTTAGTGCATTCACGTAAGGGGTGAGGTTCAGAGAAGTTAAGGGATTGTTCTGAGTCTAGTTAGCAACTGACTTGAGTGCAGAGTGAACTTGAAAGAATATCACTACAGATAATGAATTTATTTTAGGGTCCAATACATGCCAGACAGCTCTCTGAGCATCTGACATGAATTTTCTCATGTGATCCTTACAACTATTTCATGTATGTGTTTAATTTAAACCTTATCACAGCTCTACGACAGAGTAGTAGGTTACTGCCAAAGAAGCAGGTTTAAGGAATCAATCACCTTCCATTCATTACTCGCTCAACAAATAGGGGTTGAGCTTTTCAGTTCTGGACGCGTCTGAGCTCTAGGGAGAAAAAGGTAAGGTAAGACTGCTCTCACAGAGATCACACTGGACTGGGGAGAGAAGGTATGAAGCAAACACAGACACAAATCGCTATGAAGTGAATCATGAATGACAAGGCTGTGGGGAGGAACCTTCCAGAGCCTGGGCGGACGGGTGGCGCTGGAGCTGGCATCGGAGCTGGCATCTGGAGCAGGTATGGAAGCAGCTGCAGCTGATTTGGGGAAAAAAATGGGTAAAAGCCCTACACGCAATGGGCACCTCTCTCTCCTGATCTGGCAGGAGTGGAGCAGGAAATGAGTCCAAACCCGAGTGTGGGGCATGTCCCCGGGCGCTCGGGAAAACCGTTTGACTCTGAGAGGGGTAGAAGCCAGGGAAGGCTTTTGGGCAGGAGTGACCTGATGTGGTACCTTTCAGAACGATGACTCTCAGGGCCGCAGGGGAGGATGCTACAGAGGGCAGGTGGGACTCGCCCGAGGCCATGTACCCGTGAGGGGAGGGGAGGGGGCACGGGGGGGGTCCTCTCAGTTTCTGTGTCTGGGTTCCTGAAGGAGCATCCATCTCATGACCATGTTATTCTCACCTCCTGTGCTCACTGACATCCTGCCACGCGCGGGACAATCCACGGGCACAGGGGTGATGCTCTCCCGGCAGCTGGCAGGGAGGGGGCCGGGGGCAGGGCAGCAGGCAGAGCCGGGCAGGGCTGCCCCCGAGCCGCGGCCAGGCCGCCCGCACTCACCTTGGCCTTCTCCTGGTGCAGCTCGATCTGGGTGTCGGTGAGCTTGGTCCTGAGGTCTTCATTGGCAGCCTGCAGGGCAACCGTGAGCGCCTCGGGCTTCTCGCCCTTACTGCGCCCTTTCTTGGACATTGTTCCTCGCTGAGTGGAGTCTGCTGGTTTTTAATTCCTTTCAGATGGGAGCTGCCATGTTACTGCTTCTCACCCCCGCGTGCGGTGTTTCAGCAGCTACTGCGTGGCGCTCCTGGGGAAGCCCTCCTCGGCCGCTGCCCTGGAAGCCCTGGGAGGCAGAGATGGCAGTTACTGTGTGACAACGACCTGAGCTGAGTGCCAGGCAGCTACTGTCACTGGGGCCACCCACGGGGGCCTCGCCCTGAGGGCGCCTGAGTCCAGGCCTCCGTCCACCTGCAGGGGAACTTGGAGTGATCTTCCCAGAGGGCTGGTCTGGTCAGGCCAATACCCTGCTTGAAGTCTCTCAAAGACCTGCGTGTGTCTGAGGGTGTCCCTCCCATCTCAGGATGTTCCTGAAGCCCAAGCCTGCCCTTTCTCCTAGCCCAATCTCCTCCGTTTCAGTCACTTACGCCATTAAAATCTTTTAATTTCCCGATCCTCTCTTCCCATGAGGACTTTTCCTGCTCCATCTGTCTGTCCAGCCTCCTCACATGGTCCTCCCTTGTATCCTTATCCTCACACGCTGCCACACACCCAGTTCAGCCTGTCTTTTATGACACCTTCAGGTCTTAGCTTCCGTATCAGTTCCTGCCCAGCGGTACCCCTACGTCCTTACGTGCCCTTAAGTGCAGTCACCTCCATGAATCTGTGAACCTTCTGAGGGCAGGAATGTGCTGTTCTTATTTACAACTTGCTTCTCGGAATCCATCATACGGCTTGGGATATACCAGCTACTTAATTGGTATTTGTGAGAAGAAGTCCCAAATGTGATAACTGCATGGCTGCCCCCTCAAGAGCCCCAGCTGGAAGAAAAGCCTCCATAAGAAGAGTCATACTATGGATAAGCTGGGAAGTACTGGGCTAACGGGGTCCCACACTCATCCACTCAGTCAGTCGTGTTAGAAGTCCTTCTATATGCTGGGCTACATACAGTATGTTGGAACTGAAAATTAGTTGCAAAACAACAATAAAAAAAAAGCAACAAAATGTCTACCTCTGTCATCTGCTCACCATCAGCATCATCTACCAGATGGCTGCCATCAAAAGATAAACGTTTGCTGTGGGAGCAGCTGCCAGGACTCCTGACGGGTGAGAAAGGGAGACGGGCCGGCCTGGAACCTGAGGAGTGGGTGGTATGGTGACCCGCGGAGAAACAGGTGAAGCCTCATGCGTGCAAAAGACGGCAGGTGTACAGCAAAGAGAGAGCCCAGTGACTATTCGATGGGAAAAACGGGGTCTGGTTAACTGCAAATCAGAATAGGTTGACTGGCACTAATGCCAGAAAGGATGCCTAGAAATGATAAATGGTGGGAGACCTGGAGTGCCAACCTTAGAATTATGGAATTTTTTTCTTTTTTTTTGCAGTAAGCACGGGATCGCTGCTGACCGTACTGGCAGGCAGCTGCCTCAACACAGCAAGCAGGCCCTTGGTGTGCTTGCTCAGGGGCAGAGTGGGGAGAGAGGGGAGGCAGGGAGGCCGGACAGAGCGCTGCTGAGCTTGCTGACGTGAAGTATGATGAAGGCCCACGCAGCAAGAGGGCTGAAAACAAGAGGGGCACATCTTGATTCTAAATTCTTAAATGGTTTGTAGGACAAGGGTGTGGAGAAAGTGAAGGTTCCTGTGGCCAGGATTCTCACTTGGCCCTGGTCCCTCACTCGCTACACACACGTGGGCAGTACCATGTTACTGACTCTAATAAAGAGCTGTGCCCAGTGCTCCGGGCTGCCCGGCTGCAGCAGAGCAGAGGCTGGAGTGGGGGCAGCATCGAGGACAGACTTGGACGGCTGTGTGGGCAGAGAGGCCCAGAGGCAGGGACGGGCTTGCTGCATGCAGACTGGCTCCGAGTGGACGGGATTCTGTGCCTGACCTGCCACTGTAGGAATAAAGTTGGGTATAAGCACTTTCACTTTTTTTGTCTCACTGAATCCACAGTGAACTTGTCCAGGGCTGAAACCCACTAACCTGTTAAAGTCAATGGGAAAAACATGATAAGGTACTAGAGAAAGATTCTCAAGAGACCTTTCAGGAAATGGGGCGTTGTGCATGCTGGGGCTTGAGTCCAGGACCGAGGGGAATTCCTCCAGATGCTCAGGTGTTCCCGTAGCTGCTGCTCTCTCCAGACTCCAGGGACCCAGCCTGGAGGGCCCTGCTGGGGTCCTGGGCTTTCTGCCGCCCCCCCACAAGCACTGGGGCCACGCCCTCTGGAGTGTGTCCCCAGGGAAGGGGACAGGGAAGGTCAGCAGGAAGGGGGGATCAGCCACTCCAGCAGTCAGGGAACCGTCCACCATATTCCACCCTAAGCTAGATGCTGATGCTTCAGCTTGTTTTCAAATGCTGCCAAATCATTAAAATGTATGGATGGGAGACTTCTAAGAAACAGTCTTTGCTTTTAGAATTGAAATGAATTCAACAAGCATTTGCTGAAAACTTGTATGACAAATACCCCTAGGCATAAAGATAAATCCGGCAGTACTGAACTTCCAGCAGCTGGGCGAGAAAACCCACGAGGGCACGTTTAGCAGGTTTCTCCTCCCCCAGGGGATCTCCAAAGGCTGGTGGTCCACAGGACTTCCCCAGAGTTATCTCCCCTGGCCCTACCTATGGACTAGGTTCCCCAGCATTGAATATCCATAGCCCTGACCAGTCCCCAAATCCCAGACTCATATATTCAACTGCTTACTTGCCCAATCTACTTATGTGCCTGACTGGCATTTCAAACCTAACTTAACCTATACAGATGCCTTTATTACTGGTCCCTCGAAACATTATCTTCCTCAGGGCTTCACCACGTCAGTAGCTGGCACTATCATGTGTCTGTTCCAGATCTAAGCTCACAAGTCACCCTCCTTCTTTTATCCTTCATTTCTCTGAGTCCACCAGGAAGTCCTGTTTGTTTACATACAAAATAAGACTCACTTTGGTCTGGTCTCAAACCCCTGCGGTGCTGTCAGAACACAGAGCAAAGAGGAAATGTGGGACGGTTTCACAACCCCCTCATCTGAACCCTCTTCCTGGATGAAAAATGGGTTTTTAAAACTGGAGATAGAGAAATGGCAGAACAAAGAGCTTGAGAAAGACTTAGAATCACAAACTTACTTGCTGGATATATTCAGAGAGGGGGTGAACTAGAAGGCAGACTGGGGTGAGGTTTCCCAGGTGCCCACATGACCGATGATTAGATTTAACTGATTATCACTGGATTTCATTTATGTAGAAATAAGGAAACATGGCAGCATTTGTATGGCAGGGTAAGTGTAATAATAAAAGCTTATAGTGACTGACTGTCATGACCCCGTCACTGGACTGAGCATTTAGCATACAGCTCTCACTTAGTCCTCAATAAAAATAGTGGGGGGAGGAGAATGACTCATGCAGAAATTCAGTAACTTGCCTAAGATGACTGAACTGATAGGTGGTGAGGTCCAGGTTCAGATCCAGGCAGCCTGAGGCAGGGGCCAAGCTCTTACTCCCTGGGCTGCACCGTCTCCTATTTGCCTTTTGAAAGCTCACTCTGGCAGTGGGATGGAAGCCCAGTTACCAGTGAGGGAGACGGCAGGGGGGACACCAGGCGCTTCAGTGGTCCCACAGAGGGGCTACGCAGCCTTGAACCCAGCCATGGCCATGGGGGTGGAAAAGGAGACAGCAACTCCCACACATGGAGGCTGTGACGGAACCATGTCCCACTTTTAAACATGATTACTGGTTGGAACATTCTCTCCCATGGTAAATAACAAGGACCAGCTCACTGGTTCTGCCTGCAGCAAAAATGTGCAAAGCAATGGTCATACTTCACATTTTACTTTATAATCCTTTAAAAAAAATACAGTACTATGTGTGCTTGACTTCATGTATCTTGAGCCTGGGAATTCTTGTGAACTTAGGTTACATAAGGGCTAGGGAAAAGAAAAGGGTTAAAAAAATTAGAAACATGTTCAGGAGACAAAAAAATAATCATCATAGAAAATTGCTGACAGAATCAACTGTGGATACCTTAAGGCGAACAGCCATTCATAAGCAGAATAGCCCCCTGGTGGAGGGGAACCTTCCAAGACTGTGTCCAGTGGTCACGGTGCCTGGCAGTCCCATAATCCTCATGTAAAATTTCACTACAGTGGTTCTGTCACCTGGTACTGCCTGCCTTTTTACCCCCTTTGCACAGCTTTGTTGAGATATAATTCACATATCATACAATTTACACAATTTATACTTGCAAGTGTATAATTCAGTGGTTTTTAGCCTATTCACAAGGCTGTACAACCATCACCACAATGAGGTTTAGAACTTCTCCTCACCCCAAAAAGAAACCCCATGCTTGTCAGCACCAAACTCTCCCAGCCCTAGGCAATTAGGAATCTATTTTCGTCTCTATGGATTGGCCTATTCTGGATATTTTATATTACAAAGAATCATACAGTCAGTGTTTTTTGTGAATGTGTGACTGGTTTCTTTCACTTTGGTGTAATATTTCCAAGGTTCACCCATGTTATAGCATGTTACCTACATTTCATTTCTTTTTATTGCTGAATAATATTCCACTGTATGGCCCAACCCGCACTTAATTTATACATTCATCAGTTGATGGACACTGTGCTGTCTTTGCTTGGTCTCGGGGTCAGCCTTCCAGAGAAGCTGCCGCCTAAAGAGTGTTCTCAGAGCAGAAAGGAGGGCTTGAAGGTTATCTGCATGCAGATGCAATGTTTCTGGGCAGCCCTCAAAGCATCTGTCACTGGTAACGTCTGACATAGCAGATGGTCTGAAGGAGGCACAGAAGCCTGGGTCAACTGAAGGCCGATCCCGAGAGGCTTCGCAACATAAAAACTGGGAAGGAATTTTAGGTGAGCCCAGGGTTTCCAGCTCCTAGTTGCAGGGGCAGGTGGCAGCAGCACCATGTGATGCAAAGGTGTGAATGTCAGCTTACCCTTCCGGTCCTACCTGTCCTTAATCAGGTACCTCCCACAGCCAGCAGGTCTGACTTTCTCTGTAAACAAGTCTCTTTTAAAGCTACCAGAAAACTGAAAGGTAGCCTCTCGGGAGCACTTGCACTTTAAAACATGGATCGTTGCCTGACAGTGAGCCTTCATGCAGGTGTGGATTATCCGTGGAAAAAT